AGTTGAATAAATTTTTCTTTGATGGTTGTTCTTCAACAGCTGACTATGTTCTTTCTTGGCACTTTGCATTTGTTTATGGGGAACCTAATACTCAATTCAGAAGATCTATGTGGAATAGAATGATGGGCATGCAATGAAACATGTCAATCCCTTGGTTGTTAATGGGTGATCTTAATCTAGTAGGTGACAGTGCTGATAAGCGTGGAAAGAGACCTCCAACAATACTTGATAGAGTCATCCTCAATGAACTAATGGCTATATGTTCTCAAGGGAGATTGGATTCAAAGGTTCAATCTATACGTGGACCAATGGGAGACAGGGAAGCAAAAATACTAGCGAACGACTTGATCGAGCTCTTATGAATGATACATGGCATCAACTTTATCCAAACGCACAATTGTTCCACTGCACCAAAATGGGATTTGATCATTGCCCACTAATGTTATGCTTGCAAGCCATTCCCAGAAAGTAGAGGAGGAGGTTTCGCTTTGAACTAAAGTGGCAACTACAAGATGGCTATCTTGAAGTGATTTATCGTGGATGGACCACTGACAAGTTAGGTTCCCCTCTTTTCACCTTAATGTCTAAATTGCATAATCTTAATAAAAATCTGCAGATTTGGAGCAAAACAACCTCTATAAGGTCACATGAGGATCTTAATCAACTGCAACAGGAATTAGAAGCTTTGTAGTAGAACCAGTCTTCTGTCAGCAATATAAAACAACAAACAAGCCTAATCAAGAAAATCAACACCTTATGGGCTCAAGAAGAAGCTCATTGGTTCCAAAAGGCCCATGCTAATTGGATTAACTTTGGGGACAAGAATACTAGATACTTTCATGCTGTTGCTCCCAAGTAGAGACAAAATAATTATATCTATCAATTAAAAGATGACACCGGCAGAGTGTTGGATAAGGAGGATACCCTGCTTGACTATGCTTTTAATTACTTTCAGCAAGCATATACCGCACAAGAGGCTACTAACTATAATTTGCTTGACAACCTCATTCACCCCTCTATCTCTGATTAGATGAATGCGGATTTATGTAGGGATGTCTCGGATGAGGAGATTAAAGCAGTTGTCTTCCAGCTTGGACCCTTTAAGGCTCCTGGTGTTGATGGTTTTCCAGGATGCTTTTATCAACAACATTGGGAGTTGATTGGAACGGATGTCTGTCAAGCAGTAAGGCATTTCTTTGAACATGGATATATGCTGCGGGAAATGAATAGAACTCAAATCATACTCATTCCCAAAGTTAGAAATCCCAAGTTGATCACTCAGTTTCGTCCCATTTCTCTCTGTAATTTTTCCTATAAGATCATCTCTAAATTGCTAGCTAATCGATTGAAGCAATATCTTGATGGTCTCATTTCTCCTTTTCAGTTTGTTTTTATCCCAGGTTGATTTATACAAGATAATATATCAATTTCTCATGAAGCTTTCCATGGACTGATGCTAAAGAAAACAGGGGTGAATGGCTATCTGGCTCTTCAACTATATATACAAAAGGCTTATGATTGTGTAAACTGGGGCTGCCTAGAATATGTGTTGCGCACACGTGGATTTTGAAAAAAATGGATTCAATGGGTAATGCAATGTGTTACTACTATATCATACAATGTACTGGTAAATGGTATACCCACCCCTTCTTTCACCCCACAACGAAGGCTTCGTCAAGGTAACCCTTTGTCATCATATCTATATATATTTATTGCTAACATTTTGTCTCGCTTTATATTGTCAGTAGTTGTTCATAAGAAAGTGTCTGGCTATAAAATATGGAATAGAGGCCTAGCTATCAGTCACCTCCTGTTTGCAGATGATTCTCTTGTTTTTTGCAAAGCGAAGGTAGAGAAGGTGAGTTATTTACAATATATCTTACAACAGTATGGAGATATTACTGGGCAAAGAGTTAATTTTGCTAAGTCTGTTGTCATATTTAGTAATAATACTACTAGTGATTTACGAGTAACAATATGCGACCAGCTTGGCATTAACAGGGAATCTACTGTTACTAAATATCTTGGACTACTAACCTCTTGGGGGAAATCTAAGAAAGCTAATTTGGAAAATGTGGTTGATAGAATCCAAAGAGAGCTAAAATAGTGGAAAGTGGCTTTATTGTCTTAAGCTGGTCGGGAAATTCTAATTAAGGCAGTGGTTATGGCTCTTCCCACTTATACTATGTCTACTTTCTTATTTGCAATAAACACTTGTAAGCATATTAATGGAATCATTTGTGATTTCTGGTGGGGACAACAACAAGAGGAGAGGAAAATGTGTTGGGTTAGTTAAAAATCACTGTCCAAAAGTAAGTTCGCTGGGGGAATGGGTTTTAAAGATTTACATTGTTTTAACTTAGCCATGCTGGCTCGACAAGCATGGAGAATCTTACAAAACCCCCAATCTTTATGGGTGCAAGTACTTAAAAGCTTATACTTCAAAGATACATCCTTTTTTCTTGCCAGGAAAGGCAACCACCCATCTTGGGCGTGGACCAGCATTTTGAAAGGATGAGAAATCTTTCTACTTGGAGTCCGATGGAATGTTGGTGATGGAAGATAGAACCTGATTTATGATGATGCCTAGATTCCAACCTTACCACAATTTAAGGTATCCTCTTCCCCTTCATCTGACTCTTTGTACACTCATGTATGTGATTTACTTGATGAAAGAGGAAATTGGGATGTTTCTAAGCTAAACACCTGCTTCACAAACAAAGAGTGTAAGGAAATTGCTAAAATCCCTACAGGGACTTGTCCTGACAACTTTGTATGGCATTATAACAAATTTGGCAAATTCACTGTCAAGAGTGCATACTTCCTTGCCTACAAATTTATCAATGGATCTGATATAATAGAAGGAAATAATTCTGTCTCACCCACATAATGGAAACACCTTTGGAAACTTAAGTTACCCCCCAGGTTTAGGTTTTTTTTATGGAGAGCTATGCTTAACAGACTACCCACATTAGATAACTTACTAGCCAAAGGGGTTGTGAACAATCCTCTCTGCCAAACCTGCCAACTAGTTGATGAGTCCTTGATACATATCTTACTTTATTGCCCTCATGTAGAACCAATATGGTTTGGTTCAACCTTGGGTCTTATTCTAGGGTAGCTAAGGCTAGAAAACTTTGTGGAATGGTGGAGATATTTGAATACCATTGCAAAACAAATGAGCGCACCCTTTCTCATTGAGCAGTGGGCAGTTATCTGCTGGAATGTGTGTAAGGCAATGAATAAAAAATATTTTGAGCAATATGATTTCAATCCTAATCAAGTTCTCACTCAAGCTACTGGCATGTTTCAGGAATATTGCTTATGGACTAACAAAGACCTGCTCAATTCGCCAAAGAAGATAGCAACGAGAAAACAAGTTAATTCCTGCTAGACTCGTCCTCCACCAGAATTCATGAAAATTAATGTGGATGCCTCTTATGTATCTAATTTGACTTGGTTGCATTAGCTATGGTAGGTAGAAATTCTGATGGAGAACTTCTAATAGGAAGGACATGGCGATGTTTTGCTTCCTCTCCTCTCATGGCTGAAGCTACTGCTCTTCTCAAAGCAATACAATATGCCACGGACATGGGTTTGAATTTTGGGATCTTTGAGTCCGACAATGAGGCTCTAATCTCATATGCATAAGAAGCTTTCAAGCCTTCTCCATGGGAGATTAGTTCAATCATACGCAGCATCAGAGGTTTATCTTCTTCCAAGCCATCCTACTCCTTTTCTTTTGTTCCCCGTGAAGGAAATCGAGTTGCAGATTGGGTAGCTCATGCTACTGTTAGAGGACAATGCCCTTATTATTGGGCTCATTGCCCTCATAATATTTTGTTAACCTTATTACTACAAGATACTATACGCTAAGATTATACCAGTTATTTTGTTAAGAATATAAGACATATATTTCCCCTCAAAAAAAAAAAAAAGTTTGTCTTTTTATATATATGTATATATATATTAAAATGTAAATGTTGGGTAATGATGGGTAGTGTTAAAGTTTAATCTTTTTATTTGACTCTAAGTTAGGGTTTTATTTTATTTTATTTTTTTCATTTTTAGTTATATATTTAGATGTAATCCTTTCACATCCTTTACCCATCCATTTACTCATTCTATCTACATGTCTACTGCTTAAATTTAAAATCTATTACTTCATTTTAAAAAAATTATCACTAAATCACTAGATATTTGTCTACCTTGAATTAGGAGCTTTTTCTCTTGTGTGTGGTTTGAATCTACATTACTGCTTACTGAGTAAATTGCACCCATCCAATGTTACTTCCTTAGACCATAACAAACACAAATTAGAATAAAATCCTGGATCTGGCGATGAAGATTCATCATATTACTTGTAACAATCAAAAGGAAGTAAAATGGGAGAACAAGCAGAAGACATTTGTGCCTACAAATAGAAATTATTCCCTTATGAAAGTCATAAAAAAGTATGTAAAGTAACCAATCATGCATCCATTTTCAGGTCAAGTTCCAAACCTCAACTTTTTCTATTAATTTTTTCCCGCAGCAATGGGCTGGATACTTTCGAGAGGATTGGGTGCACCTACAGAGAGAATCTCACAATCTAATTTCCATTACAAAGTCTTGACTTTCTCATACAAGAAAAGAAAATGTCAATGAGAATAATGCTTTTTTAAGAAAAATAATTAAGAGATAATTTTTATATAATTATATATATTTTAATAATAATTTTTTTACTTTATTTTTATTATATTATATATATTTATTTAATAATATAAAAAATTATAAATAAATATCCTGTAAATAGATTCTCTGCATATTATTATCTTCCATTTTCAATAAGCCAACGAAGACAAATGATGTTTAATATTATTGCAGATATAAAAAAATAATCAATAGAAATTAGTTGACCAGAAAATGTGATTGATTCTTACAACCTGTCATTGCCTTGTCAAAGTTGTCCAACTCAAATTATGCTTTTATATATAGAACTCAGATTTCAAACCAGAACCATGAAAAATATTGTACCTTTTTTCTCTGAAATCACCAGGTTTAGCAAAAGAAAGAATGGGAATGTTACCGGGTATGTTGGTGGCTTTGGCTGCTGTAGCCCTGCTCATGCAATTAACTGTGGCGACGAATTACACAATTGGAGGTCCAAGTGGAGGCTGGGACACTAGCTCTAACTTGCTGTAATTGCACCAAGCCAGAAGTCCTTCTTCAGTCTGTATTTGCACTTCGGATTGACCTGCAAAGCCCCGAGGTGGATCCTCGGGGTAGACACTCCGATGCTTAAGTTAGCAATAATCGGGGCTACCTTTAGCGCGGAGAAAAAAGGAGCTTAGGGTTAGTTTCAATTACCTTTTTGACGTGGCCCCGGGGGGTATTTATAGGCTCCATCGAGGAACCCACGTGGCATGCCAAGCAAGATAGTCAGAGCCTGACGTGTATCCAAACGGTTATTTCGGGATCGGGAATTTGAGGGATATTCAAATGCAAGAATGCCCATCATAGCTGTTGTGCGGCTCATTATGAAGAATCAAGTGCGAGCATGCTTACTGTTGCTGTCATGCAACTATTTGAGTGGGAATCTTTGGACTTATCCTTCACTTCGGTCGTAAAGGAATTACTGTCGTACATCCGAGGTTGGGCACCTCGAACCTGCCCTTACACTTGCAAACTTGGGCATCATCTCAAA